ATAAAAAAGATGAACAGTGAAAGGACAGCAAACTCACAGTTATTAACAACCACACCTAAAACGAAAGCAAACTAAGAAGTCAGCTAGATCAGGAGCAAACCATAGAAATGAAGATCACGTGGAGGGTTAGCAACAGGGGAGTGGGAGGAGGAGAAGGGGGGAGAAGGTACAGAGAATAAGTAGCATAGATGGTAGGTAGAAAATAGATAGGGGGGAGGGCAAGAATAGTATGGGAAATATAGAATCTAAAGAACTTGAGACACGTGGTCATAAACTAAAGGAGGGGAATTGTGGGGAGGGGTGTGCAGGGTGGAGGGGAATGCAGGGGGTAAATAGAACAACTGTAATGGCATATTCAATAAAAAATATTTTTTTTAAAAAGCAGCTCCATCTTTAGATTTTTGAGGAAAATCCACACTGTTTTCCACAGTGGCTGCACCAGTCTGCACTCCCACCAACAGTGCACTAGGGTTCCCTTTTCTCCAGTTCCTTCTCAGCACTTGTTGTTTGTCACTTTGTTTATGATGGCCATTCTCATCAGTGTGAGGTGGTATCTCCTTGTGGTTTTAATCTGCATCTCTCTGATGGCTAGTGATGCTGAGCATCCTTTCATATGTCTCTAAGCCTTCTGTGTGCCTTGTTGGATCATTTTTTAAAAATTTTGATGATGTTTTCTTTGGCCATGGAAAGACTTTTCTTTGTTTGATATAGTTCCACTTGTTTTATTATTTTTTCCTTTATGTCCCTTGCCCTAGGAGATATATCAGCAAAAATATTGCTGTGTGGGATATCTGAAATTTTACTTCCTATGCTTTCCTCTAAAACTTTTATGGTGTCAAGGCTTATTATATTTAAGTCTTTTAGCCACCTTATATTTATTCTGGTCTATAGTAAGTTGGTAGTCTAGTTTCATTTTTTTTGCATGTACCTGTCTCCCAACACCATTTATTGAAGAGATTACTTTTACTCCATTTTCTTGCTCCTCCCCCTTTGGCAAATATTAACTGACCATGGAGACATGGATTTATTTCTCAGCTCTTTATTCTGTTCCATAGATCTCTGTGTCTGTTATTATGTCAGTACCAAGCTATTTTGATCACAGTGGCTTTGGGATATAGTTTGATATCAGGTAGTATGATCCTTCCTACTTTGTTCTTTTTTCTCAAGATTGCTGAAGCTACTGAGGATGATTTTTGGTTTCAGATAAATTTTTGAAATATTTGTTCTAGATCTGTGAAATATATCATTTGATATTTTGATAAGGATGACATTGAATCTATAAATTGCTTTGGGTGGTATGGATGTTTTAATGATATCAATCCTTACAATCCATTAACATAGTATATACTTCCACTTATCTGTGTCTCCCTTTATTTCTTTCTTCAGTGTTCTGTAATCTCCTTGCTCTCCTGAACTTGATGCTCTTGGGATGCCTTTTATACCACTTATAGGTTGGCTGTCTGGATGTACTTGGGTTTTGATCGTTGTTGGGTCATTCTTTGGTGGGTCCTTCCCTCTGACCATGTTTTGTGTGCTGTTGTGCAACTGCTGCTAGAATGAGACCAAACAACCCAGAAAACAAACCCACTCCTGCATACATAACCCCCAACCACAAATACACTATAAACCCAGCAAATGAGCAAATGTTAATAAAGGTGTAAAAAGGTTAAGACTATTATAAGTAAGGAAACATTAATATGAGATGACTAACTGAAATAAAAATGATTTTGAGAGGGTAGAGGGAGGAAAAAATAATAAGAGTATGAAATAAAAACAATGTGATGAAAGAAAGAAAAGAAAATTTACATTCTAAATAATAAAGGGATGGAAGAAGGCAGAATGGAGTAAGAGAAGGGAAGCATATAGTATTAGTTTTAATCAAAAATTTAAAAAGATATAGTGAAACAAATAGGAACCAAGTTGGAGAAAAAGATCCACCACAGCAATATCAACAAGAAATGACCAAAGGTTAATATAAGTGGAATGGGGATAAGAAGAAAAAAAGAAAAGCTTATGAGTTGTCTAGAGGAAACAAAGGTGATTCTGAGACGATAGAAGGAGAAGAAACACTAAGAATGAGGAATTAAAACTGGGCTAAGACAGATAAAAATTAAAATTTAAAATGAAAAAAGGAAGGGCACGAAGAAGGTAAGATGGAGTAGGAGAGGGGAATGGTAAAATCTGGATTTCAATTATAAAACAGTGAATATCTAGAAATAAAACTGTAGAAATGAAACAACTACCACCACATCAACAACCAGCAAAGATTGACAAAGGTGGAGAGAGAATAAGGGTATTTTAAGAATACAAAAAAGAATCTGAAATGACAAATGACAAGAAAAATAGTATGAGGAGGTCGGAGGGAAGAGAAATAGTAAGAGTGTGGAATGGAAACTAGTTGTAGCAAGAAAAAAATAAATTTTAAAACAAAAAGAAGAGGAAGCAAGAAGGTAAGAATGGAGTAAGAGAAGAGCAAAATATGAGATTTGAAATAAAGTAAAATATAAAAACTAGTGACATAATAGGCACAAACTTGAAGGAAAAATCAATATTGAAAAGCTATGCAAGCGAGAAAATAATGGAAATCATGAAGACCATGGTACAATTCAACTCAGTAGAAGTCAGTGTTTGTCACTGGCTTCTCTTTCTGGACCCACCCCTGGTAATGTCAGGTGGTGTCCTAGTCTGGGCCTAGGCAGCCTGTTCAAATGGCTACAAGCGATCTGGTCTGTGGCTGTCTCCTTCAGATTCGGATGCTCCCCACTGTTCTGTCCTGCTGGCTTTCCATCAGCCCAGGGCCCAGGAAAGGTTCATTTAATGACCTAAGAGCAGTGCGAGTACCTTCTCCTGCCTCCAGAGGAAGCCTCTGATGAGATTGGGAGGGTGGGAACCATGGGTCACCCTCAGGGGCCACTGTTCAGTCTTCAAGGAAGAGGGTTGGAGTATTTCCCTGTCCCCTTGCCACATATCTTGATCTGTCCCAGATTCTTCCCAATAATGTATGGCTTCTGGTGAATTAGCTGTCTGTTTCCTGTGAGAGGCCAATCTATTTAAAAAGGGCAGCTCTTTCCTGCTTGGCTCTGACAGCAGCTCTAAGCTCCAAGGAAGGGCAGGGCCCTGAACCCCCTTTTTGCTACTGTCTCTAATCTCTTTGCTCTGCTGGTTTCAGTGGATCAGAGTGCAAGGAACAGTGTAGCTCATGGTATCTAGTAAAGGGCCTTTTCAGAGCTTTTTCTTCTTTCTCCCATGGAGATGTGCCCAGCAGGGGGCTCCTGACCCTGGCCTCAGGGATCTAGAGCCTGTACTCCTGCAGGTGGAGGTTTGGCTCACCTGTCTGTGAGGGGACCTGCCTGGCTGCGGCAAATCTCAGGGGCTCAGCTCCTGGCAGTCCAGTCCCAGCCTGCTGCTCTCTTGCAGGAGGCTCAGGCCCACACTCACCACTCTGTATAGTCCCTGCTCACCAGCTGTGCTGGGCTGGGTCCCGCAGTCCCTTCAGTGTGACTCTCCCTCTGAGTTCTTAGTCAGCAGAGCTGCTGTGCATGCACATACATGCACGTGAGCACTGGCTACTCAAATCTTGAGTCTTGCCTGGGCTCCTCTTTTAAAAGGGTTTCTAAAAAAGAAAAAAAAGAGTTAATGTGGAGTTCCCATGCTGCAGCACCAGGCCCTGTGGAGCCTGTTCTCCATGCACTCCACCTCCCCAAAAATCACAGTCTCTCCCAGTCAGGGCTGGCCACCACCTGCCACAGCTTTCCACAGTTTTAGATAGTTTCTCTCTGGATCCTTCCCGGATGGCCCTGGGAAAAGTGCTTCAGTGATACATGGAGCAGTGGTATGGTGCTCTCCAGGCTCCCTCCAGAGATTCTCAACTTTGGGCGGGCGGGCTTGCTCCTTCAGCACTGTTTCTGCAGCTAGCACCTCTCTGCCATCTCTCTCCGCCCCAGAGCTTTGGGCTCCTGAGGTGATCTGCAGCCACTCTGAATCTGTGCAGCAAGAAGTGGCACGTGCTCCACTAGGAGAGCCCAGCCACCCGCTCCTGAGTATCCTGCGGGCAGGCAGGATCTTACCCACTCTCACACGCTCCCCGCACTCATCCATGTACGCACTCACCCACACACCCTCTCACTCATTCTCTGCTGGATCTTCCAGTTGATTACTCTGTAATCAGCTGGAACTTTAGCTGCAAGATGGGTCTGGGTCTGGGAGCAAATGGACAGAGCTTTCAGCTACTCTGCAGCCATCTTGGATCCCTCTAGAACCACAAAGTTTTATAAGAAAACACAGGGAGGATCTTCATAACCTTAGAATAGGTAAAGATTTATTAGAGAGGACACACAAAAATATTTACCATAAAATTAGGTTTTAGGAAAACCAAAACATTTATTATGAAAATGAGTAGGTAAGCCACAGGTCGGGAAAAATTTTCTCAACACATATATCTGACAAGACCTCATACCCAGGACATATAAGGAACTTTTATAAATCAACAATAAAAAAAAGACAGACCTAATTTTACAAATGAGCAAAAGACTTGAATGACACTTTATAAATGATGCTTGAACATTACTAGTCATTAGGAAATAGAAAATTAAAACCATAACGGAACACCATTTCACAGTGTCAAAAAAGATGGACACTGTCATATGTTGGAGACAGGGTGTGGGAACTGGCACTTTGATATGTTGCTGGCGAGAACAGAAACTGTTAAAACCACTTTGGAAAATTGTTTAGCAACTGACATTCCTTTATTTAATGACCCAGCAGCTCTACTACTAGGTATTTATTCAAGAGAAATACAAACATATATCCACAAAAAGACTTGTACAAGAATCTTCTTATGCCTCATTTATAATACCCTCAAAGTGGAAACAACCCAGATGAATACCAATAAGAGAATGAATAAACACATTTTAATATATTTATGTAATGGAATACTATGTGGAACTAAGAAGAAATTATTGATACATATAACAATGTGAATACTTTAAAATAATATTGTTGAGCAAAAGCAGCCAGACACAAAAGGCTATATACTAAATGAGCTGATTTATTTGAAGGACAAAAATAGACCAACCAGATGTAGTGTGATAGAAATCAGATAGGGGTTGCCTTTCGGGTGAAGGATACTGAACTGAAAGGAACATGGAACAAGTTTCTATGCTGATGGAAGTAGTATACGTCTTATTTCTGATGGTGTTTGCAATTGTCAAAAACTGTCAACCTGAACACTTAGAATTTGTTATTTTATTGTCTGTAAATTATACCCTAATTTAAAAAAAGCCCAGGATAAAAGAGCTTAGTGTGTTTATAAGGTACAAATGCTAAAATACTCAAGGCTAATGATTAATTCTTTTCTCAATTTTTATCCCAGAAAACAGAGTTCAGTGCCCGCCCCCTCCATAAATTATTTGTGTATTTTAACCCACAGTGATAAAATATTTATTTATCAAAGTCCTTCTTCCTCATGGTATGTCATATGGGGTTGACATTATCAAAACTGATGAAATAAACCTTATCTTAAATGAAATAATGTTGGACATGTAAAAATTAATTAGCAGATTGTGAAAGAAGACATGCCACCTGTCTTTAAAAACTTTGGCCAGTGGAATATGAATTGGGGTAAAGATAACTATTCAAATAATCTCATATATTCTGTACTCCTTGCACCTCTGATTTATACTTAATAAGTTATGACCCCACATAATATGATACCTGAAAACAAATCCTGTGACCATACATTATATTATGATATAAAGAACTTGACTAATTCATTACTCTTTCTCTTCTGAGTGATATTCTCCTACAGGCAAAGCATTGTGTCTATTATAATTCCTCTTGTATCCTTATAAGACGCTGGGTAGAGTCTTGAAAATAATGGATCTGCAATAATTATTTACTGATTAGTTAGAATTTATGTCCAATTACATGTGCCCATAACGGGAAACTGACTGCAATTATTTTATAATGTCTTCATATAAAATGTCTGAAGCACAGGTGATCTCATTAGGTAATTTATGGGAACTATATATATATTTTAAAGATTTTATTTATTTATTTTTAGAGAGGGGAAGGGAGAGAAAAACATCAATGTGTGGCTGCCTCTCGAGTGCCCCCTACTGGGGACCTGGCTGGTAACCCAGGCATGTGCTCTGACTGGGAACTGAACTGGTTTGATTACCTTTTGATTTTCAGGCTGGCACTCAATCCACTGAGCCACACCAGCCTATATTTAAATGGAGTATATGAAATGATCCACAAGTCCAACTCACTTCAGCTTAAAAGTTTAACCATACTGTTATTATCTGACTAGATGTTTTAAAAAAAAGTATACAAAAAGTACAATTTTTAGAAATATAAAAAGAAATAACTCTACAGAGTCTAATTTTGGTCTCCACTGGAGTATCTCAGTGATTATAAAGGCTGCAAGTTCATTGTTTTGAGTTGATCACCACATTGGCCAGACCAGAAAAGCTGTGAACTGAGAAGGAAATTGTTATTCCACTGATGGAAACTCAACTAGAGAGTATCATTCTGCTGGCAGCTGAGACGTCAGGGGTTCTCACTATGAAAACCAGTGGTCTTTTAATCACACATTATAAAAGCATTTGCGATGCTCTGCAGGCAGCTTTTCTTCAAAGATTTTCCTGCTGCTTTCCTTCCCGAGCACAATGGGTTCAAGATGGCTAATGCTGCTTCCTAGTTATGCCAAGAACCTCCTGAATGCCACTGGGCTTTCATCAGGAAGACAAATGGCGAAACATCAAATACTCGTTCTAAATGGGGACTCCCACGATCATGTTATTTTTGGGAGAGCAGCTCTCTGGCTCCATGGATATCACTTGAACGGAGTAGCCATGTTCTTCAGCAGCTCTGGCTCGGTCCAGGTCCACCAGGCACATGCACTGTTTTCCTGAAACAGAGGCAGTGGCATCGTGAGACCCTGCTCAGCTAACGGTGCCATTTCAGTTGGTGTGACGGACTCTACACGGTGACAAAAATCTATAGGAATATGGAGAATGCTATTTGCCCCCAATTTAATTCCCGATCAGTATGAAGAAAATACAATTACAAATATATAACATTTTAAAGATTTTTTTCTGCTAGTAATTTTTAAAATGTCAACCTTCTAAAATGTATTTATACATAAATCTCCAGTAAAAACTACAGATTCTATTTCCCACTATGGTTCAAAATCCATGTATTGACTTTTTCTCTGTCATGCACTTTGAAAACACAATATCTGTAATAGTGTGAAAAATTATATCTGTCTCTAAGAATATCTAAAATGACATGCAAACAAAGGGACATCTGAAAGAAGGCTGCATTTTGAAGCCTTCTTTCAGATGTTTTTAGGACAATAATGAAGTGAGAAATAGAAAATATTTGCAAAAATTCTCAATTGTGGGCCAATTATTTCAGGTGGATGAGTAATGCTGATTGTAGCATAATCTTAATTTTCAGAGCTCCTGTGCCCACATGAAATAGTGGTATTCAATTTTCTCTGTGATCTTTGGAAAACAAGAGAAAACCTGACTGACAAGCAAAGCAGTGCACTTGTGTTCTTTTTGCAAATGTAAGCTTTTATTTCAAAAGGAGCTCAGGAAAAGAAAATGATTTGAGGTCGAATATGTTCAAAGTTATGGCTTTTATACTTTCAACTTCCTTAAATTCAATATATAAACTTCTTCTTCCTCTTGGAAAAAGGTTACTGACTCCATATAAATTCATTCATTCCATTTTTCCTCAATAATTATAGTAATACCTAAACATTATTTCTAAATGACTTATTTAAATGATAGCAGAAACTGCTACATTAACACAGTTTCAGAAATGAAGATAGCAACATGAAATAGAAAAGGCCTTTTGTGGAAGACAAAAGAATCCTCATAGAATAACACTGGAAGGTGAAATCAGCAGGTAGGAATTGGTACCAAGAGGTTCAGATTTAAAATATTTTTTATATTTTCCTTAAAAGGATCCTGCCCAAAAAAGATGAACTGGCTTAGAGTGATATAGAAAGAGATGTCTAGAATTCCATTTAGGCTACATCAGCCCGTCTTCAACAGCCATATGGCTAACATTTTTCCCCCTTAAAATATCATTCCTCTTTTAAGACATCTGTAAATGCACCCCATCTCCATCTACTTTTCAATTTAAAGTTTAACATTCTCCGTCAAATGGGATGCTCTGCATTCCTTCAGTACCCACCCTAAGTTTACACTGCAGCTCACTTAGCCTTGGCTTTGATCCCAGTCCAGTTAATTTTTCTTTTACATTACTTAGAAGAATCTCACGTTTTCACATGTTGAAGCAGTGTCTTTACAACTGAAATCCAGTTGTTGGAAATCTACCTTTTAGGGAGCTTCCTATAATGTTCACAGAACAAAACTATGACCTGTGCAAAGTATAGATGTAGACATTTGATGGAGCCTGACTTTGGACCTGACATTCCCTCCTTTCATGCCAGTGATCATGCCAAATGCCTCTTGTCCTCAACTAGCAACTTCCCTACCAGCCACTCCCTTCTGGTTTAATGCCTGAAACATCACCCATGTACACCCCCATCCACCACACCAATTACGTCTCACTGCGTATAGTGAAGTTGTATCCAGAGTACCAGTATTTTGCTGTGTATAAGACATTTTTTTGCCCAAAGTTTTGAGGGAAAAAATAAGGTTGCTTATTATACATGGGCAGTACTAATTCTGTATCTATACAAATGTTTTCAATTCTTTGATTTATGCTTATGTGTTAAAAGTGTAACTCTAGAAAGCAATAACAATATTCATATGCAAAATAATACCCCAGAATATGATAATCAGTTTTGTTTCTAAATAGAAGTAAATAAATAATTGAATTAACAGTTTAACACAAAAAAAATGCCTGAAAGTTTGGGCCAAAAATGTGGGTGCACATTATACATGACAACATATGGTAATTTGATATGTATGTAAATTATAGCTCTCTGTATATTTGATTGAACATCAAATGTACATCCAACTAATTCAAAGTGTTGCAAATGGGAAAAGGAGGAAGAGGGAAAGAGAATGAAAGGGAGAGAGTTGCAGGCAGAAAAGAAGGACCTTTTCCACATGTTCATGCCCCAGAGTGTGGGAAGAGAATGACTTGTTCCTTCAGCCTCAAGTCTCAAAGCTCTCTCCAACTGTGAGTATCTTTCTATGCTGACTTTGATTTTAGAGTTTAAAGGTAATTAGTTCTTCTATAACATGGTCCCTGAGTAAAAACTAATGACCACATCTAGTGCTCAGCCAAAGAAACAGTGATCTATTTTCCAGACCAGGATAGTTCTTCAACGTGGGGCTTTTCTAAATAATTTTTAAGGCTAGTTTTAGCTCTGCAGTCATTTTAAGCCCTAATTTGGGAGCATGGTTTTCCAATGATGTGACTCCATCACTGGTGGGCACTGCAAAGGTGGGTAAGAGCTTCGTGTCTAGAATCAAATAGTCTGAGTTCACAGTGTGGCTCCATCATACCAGCTGAAGGGTCCTGGCCACACTTTTGCCCCAGTTCTCTTATCTGCATGGTACAAATAATAGTACCTACACACCCCGTTAGTATTTTTATAAGAATTTACTGAGATAATGGGTGGAAGTTATTCATCTCAGTTGCTTAAATGTTCAATAACTGTTAGCTACTATTATCCTTCTAAAAGTCATTTCTTTTTCTAAAGCAAAGTCTGAGATAAATTTATTAGTTAAACTTGAAATGCAATGGTAGATCTTTCAATTAAGGCAATATTTAATATTATAAATGTCAAACATATTGGTTTATGATTAATAATATACAGCTATACTTTTTTCCAAGAAAGAAAACATTATCATCCTAGTTTATACATTTTTAATTCATCAGTTTTGGTATGCATGGCTGACTTTTCCATTTTTATTATTTTCTTATGTGGCTTTTGATAGGTCCTTTAGTTTGTTCACAACTTAGTAATTCTCCTCAATGTACAAACACTGAAAATGTATTTAATTTAAAAGTAATGTTAACAAAAATGGGATAAAGTGTTGTCATTGGTACAAAGCCCTTTTCAATAAGGATTGAGTTTTCTGGGAAAATGTGAACTTTACTTTCTTCCTGATAGATGAACCGGCTCTTTTTCTACACAGAGCTGGAGCACTCGCCCGCACGCATCTTGCGCATAAATCTACGGAACAGCTGCGGTGGAAACACACCTACGAGCCTCCGCGCGGCTGGGAGCTGGACAGCTGTCTGATCTGCAAATCTGCACAGAGTCATGTGTTCCTAAAAGAAAGAGCAATAGAAAGTGGGCTTATTTTAATCTTTTGCTTCAACATTATAAGAAATTGAGAAAAGTGCCTCATTTTTTGGAGTTCTACATTGATTAGCTGAATAAACTGCTGCACAAATTGTTTCATACAAGCAAAATTTCAGAAAATGGTGCTCAGTAACTTTTTTCTCTCCGAATAGACAGCTCTTCAGATGTGGTTGATCAGGAACAGGTGCATGGAAGATCCCCAGGGCCATTTAACAGTTGATTTTAGCAGAAATAGACTTAACAATTTGTGATTATAACATGTGACACTAAGAGAGCTAAAATTTATTTACATTTTCCTTTAATAAAATTTGAATCCAAGAAGACATTCTAAGTGGCTTTTCTTATCCCTTCCAGAGGGAATGGAAATACTGTAGAAGATCACTGTTTGTGGCTTCTGTAGTCCTCTGGATACTCAGCAGAGTTCCGGTTGCACTGCCCTGACTTCCCTTTAACTCAGTCCCTTTAGAGGGGAGGAGACTGGCTCTCTCACTCCAAAAGGCTGCACGAGGTGTATTTATTTCTTCTGCTTTAAGAGGAACCATAGAGTAGCCCTCAGGGAATGGAAGGGAGATTATTGCTTCTTAACAATTTCAGGAAAGATTGTGTTAATAATAATAATAATAAGAAGAAGAATAAGAATAATAATAATAATGCAGCTTTAAAGGGATGGGAGCTGATGAACCTGCACAGCACTCTTAAATCTGCAGGTGGACAAAGGTGAATGATTTGTTGCCGTCAAGATGCCGGCAGTGCTCCCATGACAGCTGTTCACTCGGAGCAGCTGCAGTTTCTAAGTGTGTAAATGACCTCACCTGTCAGCTTGGCCAGTGGGTTGAACTCAGATTCATCATTTGTCTCTTGGTCTTTTGTACGTTCATTTTGCAGCCTCCATTTTTAAATAAGGTAATTAAGATGATTGTGTAATACTGGTCCTTTTTCAAGAATTAACTTTTTGTCAATTTTAATGCACTGTGAAAAATGCTTTAGGACTCGTTATGAATGTTAGTGGCAATGTGTAGGGTACTAATAAAATAATTAAGTTTAAATAAATAACTTTTATTAAGCTTCTATACATTGGCATCATGAAGGGGCAGAAGAGTATTTTAGAATTATATAATATGAAGGAAAGGCAAGAAAAAGCATGCCCTGTGTTCTTGTGGTATTTTTAAATTAAGGCTCACTTTTAATATAGATAATATTGAGGCACTCACAACCTCGGATAATGTCTGTTCCTCTCTTGTCCTGATAAGTCCCACCCAAACACAAATTATTGGATTTGTGAGTGTGTTCTCCCCTGTAGAAGTTAAATTCTGAAAGGGGGAGGCACACAGTAGTATTCAGAAAACATTTGCTGGCCAACGGCACGTGGAGAAAAACATTTCCAAAGTGACTCTCAAGATATTTGGCACTAAGTCCATGCAGTTCTGTCTGCTAGCCCACCCATCATGGTTAAGTTAGGAAACACTGAGATACCAACTTGCCACAGTATTCAAGAAGACTTCTCTACAGAGCATTGACATCTAACACCCTCGGAGAGGCTGGTGGCCAAGCAGCTTTGAGGGGTATGGGAGAAAGAGGAGACAGAGATGAACTGGGTACCAGGGAGTTTCCTGCTCTCTGGAAGAGCCTGGTGTCCTGTCTCTTTTGACTCCAGATTTTGTTTTCTTTTTTAGGCTGTGGGACTGGGACTGTGGTACCTGACCTCATCACTCTAGGTTTTTCCCATAAATTCTCTCAGTGTTTGCTTTACCTAGCATCACTCCAGGAGGCATTAAAAACAAGGGTCTAGTTTGTATTTATTTTCAATTCATTTTATACTTTATTAGCAGGGCCTTGAGATAGAAAGGTGAGGTGTTTTGAACGTTCTGAAAATAAAGTTCCTGGGATCTTAATGTTCCTCTCAAAATCTCACCGTTCCCTAGGATATGAAAACTTAAATCTAGTGGGCAAAGATGAGAAAAGCCCTGGTTTGAATAAAAGCATGGACGAGGACATTTCTCTTTCCTCCACAGTTCTCTCTGTACGTGGATGGGTGGAGGTGGGGGCTAGGAGAGGTGCGGGTAGGAGACAGAGTTGGGGGTGGGCATTTAAGAGGTGGAGGCGAAGGAGATATAGGTGCCAATGTGGCAGAATGAACATTTTTATTTTTAGGTCACGGTACTTCACTATTTCACTTTTGAAAAGGAAAGAGAGTAAAATTCCTGGAAGGCAGGGGCTGGTATATAAATTGATACTATATATTTTTGGTAGGTCTGTACAAGAAGTGGAATTAACCAAACTAAAAATGCAAACTAACTTATTAAATTTTAATAGGATTATTTACGTATTTCTCTCACATATTGTCATTTCCTAGATTTTATTATGTCATGGTATCGATCATTTAATTAGTTGGCAGTGATGTTCGGAGAGGGGGAAACCATTTTGCTCGGGTGGGCAACTCAGAAACTCAGAACTGTGTCATGTGCAGGGAGTCAGCTCTGGGCGTCTCCTGTGTCTCCGAGTTGTGAGCAGAGGCACTGTCTTTGCTCCGGATCAGAGGCTGGCAAACTATGGCGCACGGGCTAAACCCAGCCTACGACCCAATTTTGTATGGCTGAAAAGCTAAGATTTTTTAAAATTACATTTTAAAGGGTCATAAACATACAACAAAGAGAAAAGAAAATATAGAATATGAGGGAGATTTGTAAGTGGCTGGCAAAACCTAAACTATTTACTATCTCACCTGTTACCAAAAATTTTGCCTCTGCTCTGGATTATCCTTTCAAAGATATTTGAACAGCAAACAGCCTTGAAAACTATACAGTGTCTTCCTCTGGAGCAAAAGGCAGGCACGCTTACTTAAAGATTAAATCTTAAAACATTTGGGTTTCCTAAGTTCAGGTTTCCTCTCCCGTAATGCAGCTCCCTGTGTATGTGGGTGTCACCAGGCTCTTTTGACCTGCCCTGTAGCATCTGGGTCTGGGGCGGTCAGCGCAGAAATGACAGTCTGGCTTCTCCTATCCCTGTGAGCAATAGCAGGGTTGGCCTCTGACTCAGGAGTCCCTGTCTTCTGTGAGCGCCCACGGATCTGTCCGTGGAGGGCTAACTAGTTGGCTTGCATGTAGGGTGAAACTCAGACCCTCTAGAAAGTCTTGTCAGCTACTTGAAGAGTAATCTTGATTACAGAAAGAAAACCCACATTAGATGTTCACGAGTAATTCAAATATAACTATAGATTGCATGCTCCATTAGTAATCTGAGAGAAAAAAATATAAAGAAGAGATAACAAGTATATTATAGGAATACATCTCTAGATTTAAACAAGGTTTAAAGGTTACCTTGTATGATAAAGTTTTCTTAAATTGTTCACTGAAATAGAAAAGAAAAACAAATTAGTCATCATTTTATATTCTCTCTGCCTTCTAGGGTTCAGAGTCTGGTTATTTTTTTTTAAGTTGTCTTTTACCCTTTTTTTTAAAATTTATTTTTCGAGAGAGGGGAAGGGAAGGAGAAAGAGTAGGAGAGAAACATCAATGTATTGCCTCTCATACGTCCCCTCTCATGCCTCTCATGCTTGCCTCTCATGCGTCCCCTGCCAGGAACTGGCCTGCAACCCAGGCATGTGCCCTGACTGGGAATCGAACCGATACTCTGGTTCGCAGGCCTGCGCTCAATCCACTGAGCTACTCCAGCCAGGGCTAGTCATCATTTTAAATACCACATATTTAGAGTAGAAATAGTCTTGAAGGAACTAAATTACAAACAAATAGATACATTTTATCTGAAGAGGATGTAATGGTATCCTGAACTAAAAACTCTGACAGTTTCAAGTGTCTTTATAAAACAGCAAAAGCATACCATCAGTATGTTATTAATTAAAAACATTTTTTTCAAAGGTTGTTTACAGTCTCAGAGAAGCACAATCGTTTTTTCCTCTTCCCCACATGAGTGCACACAGATTCAATCTGTTTTACAATGTGGGTTTTACTGTTATTCAGGCATGGAGGGTCCAACAGATCAGGAGAGGACCACCATTAAAAAGGCAGTTTGCTCCTCACTGTTTTGAAGAGGAGGGGCATGTCATGCCATGTGGGCCGCATGGGGAAGGGCCAGGGGGTCCGGAGGCAGAGGGCAGGAGCCTTTACTGCAGATTCCCTGGGAAGGAGTGGCAAGGCCGGGTGCACAAGCTTAGGACTGGCTAGTGTGGGCAACATGGGGAGTCTCTGGGGAACAGGGGCTGTGCCTGGTTGTCTGGTGTCTGGCCCTGGTTCTCCAATAACAAAGGGGGCACACGTAAGCCTACAGAGGTGTGATAAAGTGGGCAGATATTGAGACTAAAATCAGATACGTGAGACTGCAGGCTAAACAACTCAGATTAGCATTCTCAAGAATCTTCCTAGCACTAGAGTGAAATTCCTTGGTGGGTTATAAAATGAAATTTCAACTATTGAATAAGCCTCAAGTTATAGTTTATTTTTGGCTTCTCCATAGTTCCTTTGGTTTTTCTTTCAATTAGTTGCAAATTGTAGTAGAGAACAAAATGATTAAAGGCAAAGAATAAGAAGGCTATTATCTGTACTTTTAACTCTAAATTACTTAGATGGATACTTTTAAGTATACATACTAATGACAAATAAATTACAAGGTTCTTAAAAAGTTACAATGCAAATGATGTCTTTTTTGATACATTATAGGATAGGCTTTCCAAAATTAACACATTTAATCTATTCTATAGTTAAAATGATCAGCATGATTCTCAGTAACTATGTCTCAGGGAATGAAATGTCATAAACACGGATAGAGTGGTCCCCCAATAGACTGAGTTAAAGTGATGAGAATTAAAATGGCTGCTGAACTTGCAGATTAATCACCACCCATGGGCAGCAGTTAAAAAAGCTGCTATTACTGTACCTAGCAACAACTTACATTTATTGAGTGCTTAACTCTGTGCTGCTTCCGAGTGCTTTACATGATATCATTCAATTCGCCCAAAAACCTTGAAGTAATTTGCTATTATAAGCCCCATCTTGTAGATGAGAAAATGCAGCCAAAAAAGAGTTTAACTGAATTGCTGGAGGTGAGACAGCGTATCCAAGAATGAGGAGCTAATGTGTGCCCCAGGTAAAATACTTCTGGGTCCTAAGCCCTGAACTACTATACCTATTGCCTCTCGTGGATAGTGATTTCCATTCAGAAGTACATAGAGAAGTGCTAAAACTGTTATACTTCTAGTCATCTGACTCCTAGATGGACTCGATTCTAAATTTCATCAGGAGCTGGACCCAGGAGAAAAATCAAGGGCAGAGAGGAGATCCTTTCTTCCTCATGTAATTTATATCCAATACTTGCCCTTACGGGGAGAGGAAATAAGCTCGAACCTAAAATCTCATTGCAACTTTATAACAAAAGAGTTTTGTGCATTGGTTTAATCCCCACATTGCTACCTTAGGTAGAACACTTTCACCTTTTTGGAAAATTGAACTTGGAGGTATTCTGAATGAAACCATAACAGCAAGGGCAGGTGACAAAGGAAGCCCGTGTTTTTATGCAGAGCTCGATCACCATGTCGGTTGCCACCCCACAAGCATGCAGAGCCACCTGGAAAACAAAACCAGACACTACCACTCAGTTCTTTCTGAGTAGCACTATTTTTGCATCTTTTAAAAAGGTACTTTATATGAGGACTGACCCTCAAGAGGTTTCAAGTTACCATAATATTATTCCATAATAGTTCTCATCTGGATACACCAGTGAACTAGTTAGCTATTCATATTAATTTTAAAAATTAAGCAAGGTTGAAAAATTACAAATGGAATAACAAAATTACAAATGCAAATGAAGCATAAGATTAATTTCATGGAGAATCTGAAACTATGTTAAGTATGGAAAATATAATATGTATGCATTTCTCAACTACTGCTCTTGCTTTTATGAATTTAGTTCAGTTGTAGCATTGTTGCAAGAACACTAGAATGAAATCAGAATTTCTTCTAGTCTAGAACTCTAGTTAGCTATCTGAGACTAGGCTATTAAAAATTTAATTTTGGGGGCCTTAGTTACCTCAATTATTAACTATGGTTAACGTGACTGATGCAAAGATAAAATAAAGATGTAACTGAAGACACTTTCTCAAAAGCTGTATAAATATAATCTAATTAGTGCTTTGTAAAAATGTACTAAATAATTTACATAGTACATTTTAATATCAATATTATAACCATTCATATCATTAAATGACTAATTACATAAACTACTTTCAATGGTTTAATTAAAAATAAAATTAAAAATTGAAGTGATGTTTGAGGTTTCAATAATTCATGGAAATAAAAATAATTCTATAAGTAATTTTAAGTAACAGGTGCACCTAGACAAAGAAATATGGATCAAATGAAAGAACAGATCAAAACTCCAGAAAAAGAACTAAATGACCAGGAGATAGACAACCTATAAGATGCAGAGTTCAAAACACTGGTAATCAGGATGCTCACAGAAATGGTTGAGTATGGTTGCAAAATAGAAAAAAAAGTGAAGGCTATGAAAAGTGAAATAAAGGAAAATGTATAGGGAACTAACAGTGACGGGAAGGAAACCAGGAGAACAAGACAGAGATGTTTGCTTTCAATGCTTTCATTCAAGTAGTATTGGAAATCCTAGCCACAGCAATCAGACAAGAGGAAAAAATAAAACACATCCAAATTGGAAAGAGAGAAGTAAAACTGCCTTTCTCTATGAGAAATAGGGAACTATTTCTCTATGTATACATGTCTCTATGTATACTGTACATAGAGAAACCCAAAGATTCCACTAAGAAACTACTCAAACTGATAAATGAATTTAGCCAAGTAGCAGGATACACAATTAATATCCAGAAATCAGTTGCATTTATATGCCAATAATAAACCTACAGAAAAGGAAACTAAAAAAAAAAACCCCATTCACAATTGCTTTAAAAATAATTAAATACCCAGTAATAAAATTAACCAACAATTAAAATACCTGTACTTGGAAAATATGACACTAAAGAAAGAAACTAAAGAAGCACACACTGTGTTCCTGTACAGGAAGAATTAACATCATAAAAATATCCACATTACCCACAGCAATCTATAGATTCAATGCAATTCCTATCAAAATTCCAATGTCATATCTCACAGAACTAGAACAAATATTTCAAAAATATATATGAAACCACAAAAGGCTCTACACGGAGCAACAGTGATCCTAAAAAGAAGAACAAAGTTGGAGGAATCACACTACCTAATACCAAACTATAATGCAGCCATAGTAATCAAAACAACCTGGTACTGGTATAAAAACAAACACATAGATGAATGAAACCGAATGGAAAGCCCAGTAATAAATGCACAACTTTATAGTCAATTAATATTCAATAGAGGAAGCAAGCACATACAATGGGCTAAAAATAGTTTATTCAATAACTGATGTGGGAAAATTGGACAGATGTGCAGAAAAATGAAACTAGGCCACCTTCTTTTACCACACACAAGAATACATTCAAAATGGATCAAAGACTTAAATGTTAGAACTGAAACCATAAAAATCTTTGAGGAAAACATAGGCAGCAAAATCTCAGACACTGCTCATAGAAAATTTTTATTGGATATATCTCCTCAAGCAAGGGAAACAAAAAAAAATAAACAAATGGAACTACATCATTCCAAAAAATTTTTGCACAGCAAAGGAAAACATCAACAAAATAAAAAGACAATCCGTGGAATGGAAGAACATATTCCCCAATACATCTGATAAGGGCTTAATATTCAAAATTACGAAGTACTTAGAAAACTCAACATACACACAAAAAACAATTAAGAAATGGGCAAAAATCTGAATAGACACTTCTCCAAAGAGGACATACAGATGACCAATAGACATATTAAACAATGTTCAACATTACTAGTCATTAAAGAAATGCAAATTAAAACAATAATGAGATACCATCTCACACCTGAGTGGCTATTATCAATAAATCAATAAACAAGCACTGGCAAGGATCTGGAGAAAGGGAGGCCTGATTGCACTGTTGGTGAGAATGCAGACTGGTGCAGCCACTGTGGAATGTAGTGTGGAGATACCTCAAAAAATTAAAAATGAATCTGCCTTTTGACCCAGAAATCCCACTTCTTGGAATATATGGGAAGGAACCCCAAGCATTAATTCAAAAGAACAAAAGCACTCCAATGTTCATTGCAGCATTATTTATAATTGCTAAGATATGGAAGTAGCCCAATGTCCCTCAGTAGATGAGTAGATAAAACAACTATGGGAAATTTACATAATTGAATTCTACTCAGCTATAAAACAGGAGAAAATTTTACCCTAGTGACAGTATGAATGGACCTACAGAACGTTATGCTAAATGAAATAAGCCAGTCAGAGGAAGACAAATACCATATGATTTCACTCATGTGTGGAATCTAATGAACAAATCTAAGAAGCAAAACTGGGACAGACTCATAGATGGAGAGCAAGTGACAGCTGGTGGGGGTGGGGTTCGGGGGTCGAGGGGTTGTGCAAAAGGAAAAAGGACTCATGGACATAGATAACAGTGTGGGAACTGTGCAGGGAGAGGGGTATAAGGGACTAAATGGTAATGAAAATACAATAAATATTAATTCAAAAGAAAAAAATTCTCTCTTTAACCTTTGGCACTTTAATTATGAGGTGTCTTTGAGTGGGCTTCTTTGCACCTGTCTTATTTGGGACTCTCTGTGCTTCCTGGACTTGGATGTCTATTTTCTTCACAAAGTTAGAGTAGTTTTATTTCACTATTTTTCTAATAGATTCACAATTTCTTGCTCTCTCTCTTCTCCTTCTGGAACCCCTATTATATGAATGTTGGACTTTTTGAAGTTGTCCTAGAGGCTGCTTACACTATCCTTGTTGTTTTCAGATTTTTTTCTTCTTGTTGTTCTGATTGTTTGTTTTTGGTTCTTTATGTTCCAAATCATTGATTTGATTCCCAGCATCATTTACTCTATGGTCATTTCCCTGTAAATTGTTCCTTATTTCAATTAGTGTATCTGTCTTTTCTGATTGGATCTTTTTTAGGCCATTGAGTTCCTCACTAAGTTCCTTGAGCCTCCTTATAGCCAGTGTTTTGAACTCTGCATCTGATAGACTGCTTATCTCCATCAATTTGGTTCTTTTTCTGGAGTTTTGGGACATGTTTCTTTGTCTCCTCACTTTGGCAGGCTCACTGTGTTTGTTTCTATTAGGTAGAGCTGTTCTGACTTCCCTTCTTTTTAGCATGGTCTAATGTGGTAGGCGTTCTCTAGGGTGCTGTGGCTAACCATTCCTATCGCCCAAGCTGAGTACTTGGGGTGTGCCCTTTGTGTGGGCCCAACGCACCTTTCTCTTGTAGTTGAGCCTTGATTGCTGTTGGCAGGTCAATGGGAGGGATTTACCCAGGCCAGTCAGCTGCAAGGACTGGCTGTGACCACTGACCACCAACCTCCACCCTCCATGGAGAATCAGCTGTGCAGGAAACAGAAGTGGTGCTCTGATGTGGTCTTTAGCTGTCCACTAGCTGCACAGGCTCTGGGGTTTTATGGGTGATACACCCAAGTTCAACCCCCATCTATATTCTATCCAGGGCCACCCTGCATGGGCTATAAAGCAATCTGAGATGTCTCCTACTTGTGCTGAGCTTGGAGATTACCAGGTGGAGCCAAGCTGTGAATCAAGGCTGACTGCCTCTAGTGCTTGGCCTGTGGCCACTTATAGCAAGAGGTATGGGGGCTGACGCTCACTGAGGCCAGCTCTTGCTTATTTGATATGAGTTAGAAAACCGTGAAGCATGAGCCAAGCCCAGTCATTCATACTGAAAAGTCTCCGTTAATAGCTTGGTTGTCCCATAAATGGGTGGGAGGAAGTCTCAAAGCAATCTTCAGAGTAGGACACATAGTATTAGCCAGGTTAATGGAGTCTCAGATAGGCACCAGCCTGCTGACTTCGTGGCTCTATGGAGAGAAGGAAGGGGAAATAGCCTTTGCCTACCTTTCTGTCTGGGAGAAAACTGTCCCCCAGTTCTTGCCTTGATGCCAGACACTACAGTTCTTCTCTGTATGCCACTGGTGCCTTTCAAGCTGCTACCCCAGTGCTGGCTCAGAGGAAGTGAGTCTGAGTAGGTGAGTCTGTGTGTGTGGGTTCTTTAAGGAGAACTGCTTGGGACTCCAGATGTTTCTTCCACTCACTTCATCCCCCTGATTTTTGCAGCCAGAAGTTATAGAGACTTATCTTCCTGGCACTGGAACCCTGGGCTGGGGGGCCTGGTGTGGGACTTGAACTCCTTTCTCCTGAGATATCCCTCTGGAATTTTTATCCACTGCACATGGATGTGGGACTAGCCTGTTCCATGTTTGTGCCTCTCCTACCAGCGTGGATGGATGTAGTTTCTTTAATTCTGTAGTTGTCAGAATTCCATTCCACTCAATTTCTGACATGATTTCTGGGTGATGGTTGTTCTATAATTTAGTTGTAACTTTGATGTGGTGTGTGAGGAGGTGAGCTGTGTTTACCTATGCTGCCATCTTGACTGAAGTCCAACAATATACTTCTCCGTATCTTTCTTTACT